ATCCACAGCTCATTTGTAAAGACAAATTCAACATTCCTCTCACTGGCATAAAAAGCAGCGGAACTACGGGAGCCTACATGGGAAGGTAGCTCTTGGCAGTTTCCGCGGAGGGCGCTGGAACGTGCTGGCTTCTCTACAGACTGGCATAAAGCCGCGGTGCCGAGGGGACCACGTGGGTGGCTTTTGGCAGTGGCCCCGTGCGGCACCAGAGGGCACTGGAGTGCGAGACCGTGGCAGCGAAAAGCAGTGGAGTCAACATGGTTATACGTGAGCCCCTGGACCCGAAGGCAGGTCATGTTTTTTCTTCTTTCTTTTCCTTTCTTCCTTCTCTCTTTTCTCTCTTTCTTTCTCTCCTTGCGATTGAGAAGGCGAGCTCTGTTGAGAAGGCCTGTGGTTGGCCAGTCGGGAAGGCGGGCCTTTTCTGAAGAGGGCCTGTGGTTGGCTGATTTGGACTAAGAGCAAGTAAATAATCTCCAAGGGGAGGGAGAAATTAAAATATGCCCCTAGACAACCCCCTGTGAAGAAGAAACCAGTAGAGATGTAACCCCAACATCAAGAGTGAAGATAAGGTATAAGGCAGTATTGTGTGATAGAGTGGACTGATATGGAGATCTAGTATGTCTACTGGCCATGGTGTGAATCAAATGAAGAATGGATGTGTCGAGTTTTAAACATCTATATATAAATTAAAGAAAAACCCCAGTACAGATGAGGGAGAAGGGATCTCTCACTGCACAGCCCTTCTAGCTCTAGCCTCTAAGTCCTGAATCTCAAAAGAAAGCTACTCTGCACCCCATTCTATCAAAAAAGAAAATCCTGGATTAAAAAAAACCACTGGCTTGGGGTATGCTTTATTTTCCTCCTTCCTTTTGCTACTTCCTACCCTTTTCTCTTTCTCTGTGAACAGTAATTTTTAATTAAGCATAACACAAACAATTATTTAACAATAGTAAGTGCTACTTCTCTTTCAGGTTAAGCTTTTCAAGAGAAAAGCTTAGGTGTCAAAAGATTAGCTGATTCAAAGTCACTGTCACCTGTGCTGAGAAGCCTAGAGCTTTCCTTACAGTTTGTGCCTGATCCCCAGGGGACTGTGAGCTCCCCTCCACAATAATAGGGACCACAGGAATCCCCCTTTCAGTTATGGGGTAAGAGTTCCCCTTGACAAAATACAACAGTGTAGCTGTTGTGAAGAATGCCATATGTGC